TTTTATATAAAGTAGGTTTTTTTTATATTTTTTATATAAAATATATTATTTTAATATATTTTATATAAAGTAATTTTTATTTATATTATAAATATTTTTTATATTTAAAAGGCTATATTATACTTATATATTATAATAATATATTAAAGTTTTTTAAATTTTTAATATAAATATATATATTAAATTTATTTTTATTATAAAAGTTAATATATAAAAAACGTTTTTTTAAAATATACTTTTTATAATTTATATTTATTTTTTTTTATTTTTAATATTTTTATTTAATTTTATTATTTACGCTTTTAATTTTTCTTATTTTTTAAAAAATTGTTTTTTGTTTAAACGCATTATTTTTATTTACTAAAAGTAAAACAATAAGTATTTTACTACTTATAGCTAATAAAGCTGTTTTAATAGTAAACTTAAACCTATTTACTATAATAGCAAATTATATTTTTAGTTTTTTTTTAAATACTTAGGCAGCAAAGGGCAACTAAGCAAAAACGGCTACGCTTAACTAAAGTATAGTTGTTAAATTTTAAACAAAATTAGTATTTATAAGCATAGCTATATAATTAATATTAATATATTACTTACTAAGTTTTTTATTATTTTTTTTAAAGTTTAAATAAACGTGCTTTTGCTAAATAAAGCAAGTTAAGTTATATTTTTTAGTAAGTAAGTAAACTAATTATTATAGTTAAAAAATAAAACGTTTTAAAATTAAATTTGTAGTTAATTATATTTACTTTGTTTATAAATATTTTAAGTTTAGTAAGTGTTATACTACTTAGTACTAATTAAACTAATATTAGCTTTTATTTTAAAAAAGTTAGTTTATTTTATATTAATATTTAATATTTTTTATAAAGTAAAAAATAATTATATATAGTAATGTTGCTATTTTAGTTAACGTTAGTAAAAATTTAAAAAAGCTTTTTATTTTTTAAAATAGCTTTAGTTTTTTATAAAGTTTTTAGTTTTATAATCTTTTTTTGCGCAAGCTTATACATATTTTTATAGTACTTTATTTTTATTAGCAATATAGCTAAAACGTTTTTATATTAATTTTAATATAACTTATATATTATAAGTTAATTATTAGCTACTATTAAGCTTTTAGCAGCAAATAGTGCAACAATAGCATAGTAAGCAATAATAATGTACTTTTTAAAAGTACTAAAACTTAAGTACTTTTAGCGCTATATTATATTAAAAAGCTAAACAATAAAAATAAGTTATAAAACTTATATTTTAGCAAATTATATTGCTATTATTATTAATAATACAATAAAATAGTTTTTTAGCACTTATAACAATTTAGCTTTGCTATTTTATATATTAATACGTTTAATTTTTTAATGTTTTTTGCTAATTATGTACTATATTTTGCTTAAACGCTAAAAAGCTACAGCAGCGTATACTATTTTTTGCTTTTTTAATATATTACTAGTACGCGTTTAAAAAGCAATAAGCAAACAGCATTATTATTTTAGTTATAGCTTTGTGCTTAATTTGTTTTTTAAATAGTTTAAGCTTTAGTATTTAAATAATAAAGTTATAAAATAATAAATTAGCTACCTTTTTACTAAATATTAGCAAAAGTATAATAAAAAGTAAAAAAAAAAATAGTTAAACTACGTAGTATATAATAATAATTAATGCGTAAAATATACGCAGTAAATAAGAAAACATTTCCTAAAACTAAGTACATATAAACTACTTAAGTACATAAGTACTTTAGTACATCCTTAGGTATTAAAAATTTTTTAGTACATTAGCCTATAAAGGTTACCCTCAGGTAAGCATAGGTTACCCTCAGGTTACAAGGGGGGGGTTAACCTCATATTGTCACATCGGTCATCTATCATTAGAACTAGGTACCCAGCGTATACAAGACTGCAAGTATGAGGTAGGTACATTAAGACACTAGCTAGTACAAGGCAGAGAACAGTCTAAGGTTAGCAAGAAACTCTTTTCGATGCCACTTTGTAACATGTCCATCTAACACCAGGAAGTTTTGGGAGAAAAAGACAAAATAGAGCAAAAGTATGCAGGCTAGGTACATACCTACACAGTAGATTACATATTAAGTGCAAGACGCCACCGTATGGCGTCTTTCTGCGGCAGTAAAACACCCCACACCATACAGTGTTTTACCTGGGTCAAGCCAGACCGCTTGTGGCCGCAAAATCAAATGCTCCACCACGTCCACCAATTCCACTGATTTCGGTGTTAATTAATTGATTATTCAACCGCCCCTCCATCAATCCCATCCCACTTTCTTTGCCTCTGACCCCTCTATGCGTATAAAAATAAACCTTGCCTCGTAACAAAGTTGCGCATCGCAAGTTTATAACTCAAATCTTAATTTGGGTCTCTCACTTCTGCGCCGGGCAATAATATCTACACAGCCGTTTCTGCCAAATTGTCTCAACGAGGGTCGAACTCTTGTGGCAACCGAATTTTCTGCCGCTGTTACCTCGTCCCCGACCGACTTGGTTTTTGACTATAAAGTCGAATTATTATAGCACTTTGCCGAGCGCTTTCCACGGTCCAAGATCATCATTTCAGCCTTCTGGCTGGCTGGGGACTAAGGTTAGAAGGAAAACGAGGACAAAGTACAGAGGTTTTCGCTAGCTCGACTTCCATATCCCGATTTTTAAACATGGCCACCATTGCAAGTAGCCGGCCGTCGAGCACCGCCCATCAGGGTCAGCCGGATACGGCTCCATCTTCTCACCAGTACACATGCAATACATGTCAAGTCGCCTTTCGGTACGCTGATACACAAAAAGGGCACATGAAGAGTGACTGGCAGTAAGTTACCATTTTCCCCTCTTCATACATGTCTGTCAAACTTGTATGAAAACTTGTCTCAGATTGTGCTTTGCCTCTGACGTTTGCTCCTCGTTTTATAGTCGATACAACCTCAAGCGCCGTGTAGCCTCCTTACCTCCGATCAGCTCTGAAGTCTTTACCGAGAAGGTTATTCAAGCCCGTGCTGCCACCACGGCTGAGGCCGATCGTGCTGGCTTTCAGCAAATTTGTGACGTTTGCCAGCGCACCTATTACAGTGAAAACTCGTATCGCAACCACATCAGCAGCCAAAAACACAGGGCAAAGGAGGCATCCTTATTGAAGCGCGGCGTGGCTGTGGACGATACCAGCTCTGTCTTGAGCTCGACCATATCTCTTGGGAAGCCCGTAGCTACGCCTTCAGAAGGAGTGGACTCGGAGGCGGAAGAGGAGTTTAACGAGGTTGTCGAAGGTCTACAAAAGGCCAGCTTGAAGGAGCGTCCCTCTCCGGTCAAGAGACCTTCGCATCCTGTTCCTTCTGGAGAGTCACAGACGGAACCAGGCCATGTTGCTTCAGACAAGACTGAGACGAATGCTTCCGGCACGGCTACACCTGTTCCAGGCCTTACCTTGAAAAACTGTCTGTTCTGCAGTTACGAATCCCCCACGATTCCCTTGAACGTTGTCCATATGGAACGTATACACGGCATGTTCGTTCCAGAAAAGGAGTACTTGGTCGACATGGATGGTTTACTTACTGCGCTGCAACAGCGAATTCAAGAATACCATGAGTGTCTATACTGTGGCAAATACAAGCACAGCGCCGCGGCAGCGCAAACGCATATGCGCGATAAGGGCCACTGTATGATCCCGTTCACGACTGAAGAGGAGCAGCTCATGATCGGTGACTTTTACGACTTCCGGAGTACTTATTCAGATGCCGAAGAGTCCGAGGACGAGTCGGCTGATGATAAACCCCACGGAGGTGCCAAGCTTGGTGCTAAGCGGGCCTCGAAGGCAGTGGGCGAAGACGGGAAGGAAATCGCAGAGGATGAGGGCTGGGAAACAGATAGCTCAGCTTCGTCTTGTGCTTCTGAAGATCTTCAGGCCATCCCCGTTGATCACCACATACGCCAGTATGAGCGGTTAGAAAAGCACCCACATCACTCGTCTCACGATCCCCGGCACCATCATCAAAGGGACGGTTGGCATTCACATGCTCACAAGCACCGTGCTATCTTCTACGACGACACGGAATTGCACCTCCCATCTGGCCGTGCTGTTGGACACCGGTCGATGGCGAAATACTATCGACAGAACTTACACAACTATCCTACGCCTGAAGAGCGTGCAGAGAGACTAGCTATCGAGGCCGGCAGGGGCTCAGACGATGAGGGCGATGAGTCCGGTCATAACGGTAGACGGAATCAAGTGTCGCGACGCCAAAACGGCGGCAAATTCGGTGCTGTGACCAGCCGGGCCAATGGTGCATCGGGCATGACAGGTGTCAGCGATCAAAAGAAGAAGGAACTCGCGCGTGAGGTGCCCCGCAGCGTTCGACAACAACAAAGGAGGGAGAATCGCAACGAGTGGCTCCTGAACAGAAGAAACAACCACCAAGAACATTATAACTACCAGATCTTGTAATCTGCCCATCTCTGTCTGGCAAGGACCCGAAAGGGATCAGGCTGTGAGCCTGCGGGTTATAGCAAAGGTCAGGTGGTTAAAATAGAGGAGTTTGTAGCTTGGTCTTCCTATGATATGCCTGTGGGCGCAATAGAGCAAGAATACACGTGTCACGTTGACTACATTTACTATGATATGCCATTTCGTTGCTCTCGGCGTAATTAAGCCTGGCGCCGTCTACCTAGTTCCTCGAGTGTATTACACTTGCCCCTTTTTCCTGGCGGCAATTCAAAAGAATTAGCCAACACAAATGAATATAATGAATACAATGACGTACTTGCTTTAGACGATCAAGCATTATATATGTCTCTAAACTGTTTCTTTACCCTTGGTATACAGACCCCTGAGTAGCACATCTAATGAAGATTCAATCGCACATTTCCATAGAAACTGATAAATGATGCAACGTAAACGACTTGGATGAAGTCTTGCTAGCCAGCAATAAAACAACCCAAAGAAAAAAAAGTTTTTTAACAAGCTCAAACCAGTCAAGCATGTTCAAAAAATATGTTTGTTGCGGTGAGTGTGGATCGAACACACGACCTTCAGATAATCTTTAGGAATGAAGTTTAATGGCTTCAGTCTGACGCTCTCCCAACTGAGCTATCCCCGCTTGATGTTTTGTTGGTTGATTATTTCCCTTTACCTAGATCAACTTTCCTTTTTTTTGTGAGCTAGTCTAGGTAATGTTAGTGCACGGTTTACCCCTATTTAGAACAGGTAGGAAGAAGCGGTTGATAGGTAAAGGATTTTGTATTGATTGATTGATTGATTGATCAATTGTATTCTGGTAAAGTAAAAGAATGCATACAAGTATACGTTGTCAATGAAAGCCTTTTTCATTTGTGAATTGTTGCTGTGATGTGAATTGCAAGCAAGCAGATGCGCTTAGTTTAATCCGGAGTGGGAGGAGTGAGAGTCCAGTGAGGCATGTCGAGAGCAACACGTGTTGGTAAATAAGATTGGGGGTTGGTGTTTTTTTATTGTTTGTTACAAGATTACATAGATTCGATCTAACAAACACGATTGTATGTATGTGTGTAAGTGAGTGAGTGTATGTATTGATCAGATGCTTCCCCCCTTCTCCTCAACCATCACTGTTATAGGGGCCTGGATTGTTCATATATAACCATTCAGGAAGGGGTATAGTAGAATAGGCTTGATCTCCTAATTCAAATCAAAGTTTCATTCTATCTGATAAAAGAGACTAGTGCGGTTGTCAGAGGGAATGGAGGGCACGTTGGTATAGGAGAGAGAGAAGCATTGGCTTTGTTCGTGGATGAGTTGTAGTGTATCATAATGGTGACAATAGCTTCATTTAAACGACGTCTTCACTGGTATCAGGAGGGGAGGGGGATCTATATATTTGTGCTCTTGATGATATCGGCTTCTTGTTGTTGTTGTTCTTCTTCTTCTTGTTTTATACCAGAGCTTCATCTTCGCTGTATAGCTTTCTCAACTGCCTGCTCCCTTTCCTAGGACGGACCAAGCCTGTCTTCCCTGCTTTACCGACTTCTTACCCTCGGTTGAGTTGACAAGTCAATCATCATGCGTTTCAGCATTACCTTCGCCCTGGGCCTCGCCCTTTCCTCGACTGCGGTTGTTGGCTCACCTGTTGCAACAATCACTCCTGCGCCAGAGACTACTCCGACCACCACCGCTAACAGCGAAGCCATAATCACGAGTACCGGCGGCACCGCCATCGGAGGAGCCCTGAACCTCGCCGCCCATCCCACAAACAATGAGTTCATGGCGAAACCCCCACCAGACGGATTGGCCATCACCATCGTCAACCATCACTATGCCCCCGTGTCCACGACACACAATCGCAATGCCAAAGCACCTGTCGCCACAAGCGGCCATTTCGCCCCAGGCACCATCGGAGTCGGACAGAGTGCCGTTTTCGCGGTGCCGACTAATTGGGGTGGTCGCGTGGGTGTTGCAGCTGCTCACGAGGGCCCATTGACTGATGGACGAGACGTCAGTCTTATCGAGGCCAGCTTCATGTATAGCCCAGATGTTGGCTTTGCTGTTGCTGATGTTGATATTAGCTATGTGTGAGTAATTTTTTTTTTTACCCATCTCCATCTTCCTCTTCTCTTCTCTTCTCCCTTCACGATTGCCAACTAATATATTCATTCTCGCCTTCTCAGTGATGCATTTTCCCTACCAATCTCCTGTTCATGCAATGGTCGTCCAGTCACGGGCTGCAACAAGGACTTACTAGCCATGAACCCATGTCCCGTAAGTTATCTTCTCTTCTTCTCCTCTTGCTAAAAACAAATTCCCTGATCTAAATAAATAAATAAAATAAAAACAGGCAGGATACTTTTACAAGGGGTCATGCTACAACCCACTCAAACCAGACCTCGACGCAGGAGGCGCCACCTCGTTTTTCGCGCCTTGTGCTCGGGCGGCCTATACTTTTCCAAAGGATAATGAGGCGAACTCATGGGGTCAATGCCAGAGCGGACATATTACTTGCTGCATTGGCACTTCCTGCCCTCGCGGCCCAAAGCAAGAAAATTGAAAACTGCTGTGTGGGGACTATAAATGAAGGCAAATGGCGATTAGGAGTAAGGGTAATTAGATTAGGGAATTAGAGCTATAGAGAATGGTTCGGTCCTGCGCAAGGTTAGACTGAACTGAATAGACTAACATATTCGTCCTACTAATTTTTGATAACTGAAGACAAAACAAGTGACATTTGAAAAATATAGACACATAGTTAGGTAATGGGCAGTTGTCAGGCTGTCTCAGACTTACACGCCTTGGGCTCAAAACAACGTTGATTCACGATACGGGGTAGAGTGACTCACAAGCCACAGTAGAGAGACCGGGCACATAAGATTATACATAGGTAGAGGCTCAATTTCGACAATGAATATATTGAGGTATGCTGCCTCTGCTGTAGGGTCTGTAGCAGAGGTAGCACGTCTCAAAATATTCTACAAGGACTCATATCAGGATCAGGAAACTGTCAAAGATTAAGCAGGAAACCAGTATGAGTATTGAACAAGGGCTGAAGTAAAGCAGCCTGCTAATAGCGTGACCTATTTATATATATATACAGTAGGTGGGTAGTGGATGTAGTGTGCGGCGTGCCTCCTTTTTCCCAACCAAAACGCCAATCCGAAACAATGGGTAGATTTCGGATGACAACCGACCATGACAACTATAAAGCGGGGTATCCATTCAAGGGCAACGAGCCAGCCAAATATCTATGAAAAAAAAACCCATAACAAACAAGTCATCAACCCCAGAGTAGGTATCGCTACCCTACCAGCTTGACCCATCAATAATACCTACCCCCGGGCCCGGAAGACGGTGTTACCGTCCGTGTCAAGGATAGAGACACACTTATCCCTACGGTATGTGACCAAGAAATCCCTATCCGTCTCTCTGTCCGCGTCATACACCCTTCGCCGAGGGATCACAGCGCCAAGATCGATGACCATGCGAACCTGCCGGCCTCTATGGTACACCACCATAGGCTGTCTTTGTCTTGGTTTCGGACCGGCATATACGAGCCCTCTCCGGCTTATTCTCGGGCAACGGACGGAGCGGTAGACGAGCTGGCGTCGTGAATCGTGGATGGCCACACACTTCCCGTTGCGGTATGTGGTCCAGAACGCCTCGTCTCGTTTCGAGTCGTACGGCGTTCTTCCGGGGCTTCCGGCTGGCGCTCGGAAGTTGACGACCTTGTGTATGACTCCCGGCGTTAGGTACACCGTCATCAAGCCCACCGGAGCGGCCGGTCTGGTGGGGAGTGTGGTCTGCATGGTGGTTGACATGTCGTTGGATGTATGTGGTAGGCAAAGGCGACAACTAGGTACAGGTGGAATTTGAACTCCACGGGAGTCAGTAAATAGAGCAGAGAAGTGGTGTTTTACTTTTTTACTGCGTATGATAGTACAGTATAGCTCCGGACCAGAATCTGCCAGAATATAGCGGTTGATGATTGATGATGGACGCTCATGGACATACCGATAGGGAACTCTGTAAGTAGGTAGGTTGATAAATTCTCAGGCGTCTGTTGAATCGTGCAAAATATATTCCTATAGTTGACGGGGACAGGCTTAGAGTCAGAGGAGTCAGATGTTGAGGGTTAAGAGAAAAGGTAGAGAGGAGAAGACGGGAGTGCGGCCCAAGGGCTTTAATATACCCCTTTTCTAATCACCGTATCTATGTGAGGCAAAAGTTGAGTGACCATGTGCGTTGAAAGATAGAAATGCCTGTAGGGATGTGCGAACTGACCCTCGTATTCTTACCTCTTTTTACACACCTTCTATATTTTTATTGACCCGATCTCCAAGGTTTCGTGAAGAGCATGGATAGAGTCACTTCCCTATACATGTGAATAAACAAGTTACATCAACGGACATATGGAAGGGGTGTTAACCTTCTCCCTAGTAGTGTCATGGTCGATACGCGTCGTGACAGGAGGACTTGACTAGGATAGCTAGTGAATAACGGATCGTGAACATGGGAGGGAAAAAGGACAGTATCTGTGACTGAGTTGGCCAAGTTGAATCCGTAGATGCACCACTGTACGATTACATTTGCTCAACTACCTTATTAAATTTCTTATGTAGGACGTAGTCCTAGTTCGCCTTGGACACGCAACTAGCTGCGTTTCTTCATAGTCGTAGAAACATCCGTAGTTTATGTGATACTAAGGTTCGGCCCGGAGGCTACAACCACTCACGATGTACTAGGCCATTGAAGCTCAACACTCTGGGGAACCTTCCGGACAACATAACTTAGATTTGAGATATGGAAAGAGCGAATTCACAGTGCTATAACCTAGTTGAAGGAAGCTGCAGGACCACGAAAGCGATTTAGACTTCTGAGTGGACGGTCTAAGCCCGCGGGTAGTAATCGGATTCGTACTCTTATACGGTGTCACTTGTATCGGACAATGTCTATAGCGCCGGGAGCTTACTGGGTGTTTGTTTAGCACTCTCGGAATAGGTAGACTTGCAGGAGCGTGCAGTGATGTTGTCCGTTACCGTGGAAACAACATGGATTAAGGTTTCATACCGCATAAATCATTTCAAGGTATATGCCATATGTCCTACCTTCCAGTACGGAAACCTGGTTATGAAGATACGTAAATGTGGACAGAGGTAAACACACAAATGCAAACAACCCGAGATACTTAGAAATTCCTCTCAGGTAACTGCTGCTTAGTTCTATAAAGTAAGAGAATAAGAGGTTCCCTATAGACGAGGCAGGAAACAAATGTGAACCTATCGTAGTACCATCTACGCCTTTAACAATAGACGTTTGGTTTCGTCTTACAAGTCGCCAAGAACTAGACAATTGACAATTCCGATCCAGAGAGGTTCTGTCTATGGCTACTTATCTAGTCGCAAGGTGGACTATGGAAGTATTATTCATCACGTTGGAGGATACGTAGGGGAAGATATACGTTTCTAGGCTATTCCCCTACTTTTGGCAAACGTCCTAAGGCCACTTAGCCGTATACTTGCCGCAGATATTCCGCTCTTAACCTAATAAACGGCAAATAAACTATATAAGCCGCTTACACGTTAAACGTTCAATCTGATTGAGATGTTAACTTAAAATAAAAGGTAAGTATGACCCTCA